TATAATATACATTTTGTGTTTGTTTCTTGCAGGTTTGTATAAGAAGTCTGGAAAGCTGGTTTTTCTTGGGCTGGATAATGCTGGGAAGACGACTCTACTGCACATGCTCAAAGACGACAGATTAGGACAACATGTGCCCACATTACACCCCAGTAAGACTCGATTACTACAATTAAAACACAATAGAGCTGTGAGGTGAATAAATCCCATCAGGCATTGCTCAGGGCTGATTGTGTTTCTCTCAGCGTCAGAGGAGCTGACCATCGCAGGAATGACTTTCACTACATTTGATCTGGGTGGTCATGTACAAGGTCAGAACTATCATTTCAATATCAGTCCTGTAGTTTAATTCATTTGTTTTCCCATATATGTGTCCCTGCAGCACAAAAGCAGTGTTGAGTCGCTGGGGGATATTTGTAGCAATAGCCAACAATACATTGTATGGGTCACAATTATACATTTCTCTTTTATGCCAAAAATCATTAGGATATTAAGTAAAGATCATGTTCCATGAAGATATTTTGCAAATGTCCTACCGTAAATATATCAAAACTTAATGTTTGATTAGTAATATGCATTGCTAAGAACTTCATTTGGACAACTTTAAAGATGATTTTCTCAATATTTAGATTTTTTTGCACCCTCAGATTCCAGATTTTCTAATAGTTGTATCTCAACCAAATATTGTCCGATCCTAAAAAACCATACATCAATGGAAGATTATTTATTCAGCTTTCAGATGATGCATACATCTCAATTTTGAAAAATTGACGTATGTCATATATACTATATTATGCAATGTATAACAAATACAATTCATAGCAGTAAATTCCCATATATTAAATTCACTTGATTTTTGGGAATACAATTATATTTACACAGATGAAGACAGGACTGAAGACAGATCTGTTGAGTGTAATATAGTGATGTAGTTTTGAATGCTTGATGAACTGATGAACTGAGACTGTGTGAAGGTTTAATGACTGGTTTCTTCTGCGGTTTCAGGCCAGAAGCGCGGTGGATCTGGAAGGGCTTCAGGCCAACAGCAGCTACAGTGTGGAGGTCCAGGCCGTCTCATACTGGGGTCAGATCCGACTGAAGAGCAGCAAAGCCTCCGTCCAGTTCAACACACAACTCCACAACCAGACAAGTGCGGACAAACTCACCGACAGCAACATCTGTGCTGACTTCATTCAGTGTTACTGGCCTTTTCTTTGTAATTATTTGAGAAAATCACTAGTAGTTTCTGAGTGTACAGTACTTGTTTAAGTTTGGAGACATGGTTTTTGAAAGAGTCTCTTCTGCTCACAAAGGCTGCATTTATTTGATCAAAAATACTGTAAAAATTGTGAAATATTTTTATAATGTAAAACAGCTGTTTTCAATATGAATATCTGTTAAAGTGTAATGTATTTCTGTGATGCGCAGCTGAATTTTCAGCATCATTCCTCCAGTCTTCAGTGTCACATGATCTTCAGAAATCAGTATAATATGCTGATCTGCTGCTCGAGAAACATTTCTGATTATTATTATCAATATTTAAAAGAGTTGAGTACATTTTTTCAGGATTCAGGGGGAAGAAATTATAGAAATTAATTATTTTATTTAGCAAGGATGCTTTAAATTGATCAAAAGTGATGATAAAGACATTTATAATGTTACAAAATATTTTTATTTCAGATAAATACTGTTCTTCCGAACTTTCTATTCATCAGAGAAACCTGAAAAAAATATACTCAGCTGTTTTCAACATTGATGATAATCAGAAATGTTTCTCGAGCAGCAGATCAGCATATTATACTGATTTCTGAAGATCATGTGACACTGAAGACTGGAGGAATGATGCTGAAAATACAGCTGCGCATCACAGAAATACATTACAGTTTAACTGATATTCACATAGAACACAGCTATTTTAAATAGTACAAATATTTCTAAATTTTGCCGTACTTTGGATCAAATAAATGCAGTCTTGGTGAACAGAAGAGACTTCTTTAAAAAACATTAAAAATCTTTTGACTGGTCGTGTGTATGAAACACTAATGAGGATTTGTCAGTAAGCATGATAACATGTTTGTATGTAGCTGAACACAGTTTGGAGTGACTGGTGTTGTGTGTGCAGGGAAGCGTGTCGCTGAAGGAGCTGAACCTGCGGCCGCTGGAGGTCTTCATGTGCAGCGTCTTGAAGAAGCAGGGTTACGGCGAAGGTTTCCGCTGGCTCTCGCAGTACATCGACTGATTTCAGCCGCTCTGGCATGATTTGATTTTATTATCAGCAATAAGTATGGAACGCGGATTAAAAAATTCAATAAAAATAAAAAAAGGTCATTGTGACTTTCTATCTTACAATTCAGATTTTTTTTTCACAAATTAAAGAAAAATTCAGAACTGTGAGAAGTCATAATTCTGTGTTTCTAAAGTCACAATTTTGACATTTTTCTATTTTCTTAAAATTGTGAGGAAAGTGTGCATTGTGAGATCTCGCAATTCTGACATTTGCTCTTGCGATTTCTGGTTTATATCTGACTTTTTTCCTCACGAAGAAGAAAAGAAGAAAGAAAAGTCAAGAATTGCAAGAAAAAGTCAGAATTCTGAGTTAATATCTCACAATTTTGACACTTTTTTTCCTCAGAGTAATAAGGTTACATCTTACAGTTCTTTTTCAAAAATGCTGGCGGGGAAAGAGTTAATATAAAAAATAAACAATATTAATAAAAAATATAAACATCACTATTTTATTCTAGAAATGATAACACAAATGATAAGACAAAACTTCCAAACTACGTATGATTATGATATTTATTTGATACTATATGAGGACAGTTGTATCAACTAATAGCCCCCCCCCCCCCCCCCCCCCCCCCCCACAATGAAATAAACAATAAAGAAAAGACAATTGCAACTTTTTAACTTTTTCTCACATTATGGACCTCTTTTCTCATAATTCTGAGGAAAAATATAACATCTAAATTCAGAATTGCTAGGAAAAAATGACGAATTCTGAGATAAAAAGTCACAGTTCCTTTTGAATTTTTTATCCTGTGGCAGAAACGAGCTTCTATAAATAACAGCTGTTGATTTGATCGTTTGAGTGGATAGTTTATTGATTGGTTTTGTCGCTTTAGTCCCGTCTGTTCTGCATGTGTGCTATTGACGCACCGCAGCTTTAAACGCAGAAGGTACCGTATTAAAGGCCTGCGAGCCTGGAGTCGAGCCATTGCTTTTTAAATAATGATCAAAGTACAAGTACGTGTGATTTTTCAGTTCCTGCAGCTTCTGAGTAATATTAAGACCACGTTTGATCGGGGAGTTTTTACTTGAGTGTTGTAGTATTATTTAGCATCGTCCTGCATTATAAAGAGCTGATGTGCTTGAGATGTACAGTATGCTGTAATATATAATCTACTGTACAGTGTTCGTGTAGATAATGTCATCAGATGCCGTCGGTGTTTGTTGATCATCAGGTGAAGCTTTGGCTCGTCTGATACGAGAGCACCTACGGCACAGATCTGATCATTTTTTGCAAGTGTGTAAATATTGTATAATGAAATATAAATGTGTTTTTATTGTTCATAGCCTTGACTTGAGTGTACAGGAATCCATCATAACAGACTGTAAACATCTATAAACTATAACTATTTTGAAGAATGTTTCTACTGTTGTTATTTAATATCTTGATTTTCAAGTTCAGAAAGCTAGTAAGCATTTTAAAACTGATAATTCACTCTTTAGTCGTCTGAACACACTGGAAGGCATACTTTATCATGCATGCAACACATCTTTCACCTACTTTTCACCTCACTGGACCAGGATGCAATGAAAATTAAAGGAATAATTCACCCAAAAATGAAAATTGGCAGAAAATTCACTCACCGGGAGCTCTGTTTTGAAGTTAAATCGTCTTAATGCTGGATTTGTCTCAGCTTTTGTCTTCTCCAGATGTTCACTGATGGACTGGAGTGCTGTGGATTATTGTGATGCTTTTATCAGCTGTTTGGACTCTCATTCTGACGGCACCCATTCACTGCAGAGCATCCACTGCTGAGACGCATTTCTCCAAATCTGATGAAGAAACAAACTCATCCTAATCTTGAATGGCCTAGAGATGAGTACATATTCAGCAAATATAAAATTTTTTGAATAAGAAAAAAATGAAACCAATCACAATACAGTTAAGTACTGACTGGATAAACTAGTAGAAGATAAACCTATAAATCAGAGATATTCTACAAGTATAAAAGCATCCTAACAGTAATTCATATGACTCACGCACACCAACACATGAGATCTGAGAGCTCGATTTCAGTCTATTTTCAGTAAATTCATATGCAATATGACACTTAATGGCACGTTTTGGAGCTTGACAGATGTGAGCTGTCTTTGCATAGAAAGCGTATGGATTTTTCAGAATGTCTCTTTATGATTTACTCAAGAATTAGTCGTATGGGTTTGGAACCACAGAATTTTTGTTTACACTTTATTTTAAGGTGCTCTTGTTACAGTGTAATTATACATTTAAGGACTACATGTACTTACTATATAGTTAGGGTTAGAGTTTGGATTAGTGTTACCTGCATGCAATTATGCATAATGTATTGTTATTATAATAGGAAGTACCAGTGTAACAAAGTCACCTTAAAATAAAGTGTAAACAAAAATTCTGTGGCTCCAAACCCATATGTATGGTGGCCGAGAAGTGCAGAACAAATCACAATTCTGAAAACAAAAGAACTCGTAAAGAGACGTTCTGAAAAATCCAAATTTTTTAACACCTTAATTAACAGTGTCCTTGTTACATGTACTTAAAGTAATAACAGTAATTTACAATAATTACATCATGCAACTAACCCTAAATCTATAGTAAGTACATGCTAATTAATATTTACCCAGTAGTCATCTGTATAATTAAACTGTAACAAAGACACCTTAAAATCAAGTGTAACCCAGAATTCTATCGATTGGCCAAATATTCCTTTAAATTGTTAGTTAAACCTCAGTCACCTTCAGTTCCACTGCACAACAGCCGGAGGCAGCAGTGACTTCCAGATCTCAGATAAAGAGTGCATGCATGCTCACATTGGCTATGAGTCTCGGGGTTAATAAATAAAACTGTTTGAATTTGTAAACTGGTTACAGCACACAACTGCAAATGTGAATGTGTGAGAGTCTGAAACACTTGCATCATCACCGCTGCATGATGCTGAAAGCATTCTGGTTTCTTCTGCCTGATTTTCCCTTTTCATAAAACAAACTACCACACTGCAGCTCAAACAGCGACACCAAGGTCATGGGTTCGATCCCTAGGGAATGCATGAGCAAAAGTGTATGCTATTTGAATGCATGAAATAAAATCAATATACACCTTCACAGTAATGCAAGTGGCTTTGGATAAAAGCATTTGCCAAATGCATGAATTGTAAATGCACACTATTCCTGCAGTACATAGCATCTATACGGCACAGCAGTGTTATTTCAGTATCACTGATGATATACTATTATAGTTTTTAATATTTTGAATTTCTTTTTATGTTTTTACCTTAATTTTAAAGTTGAAGTAATTTAGTAACTCCGTTTTTTGGTAATAGTAATTTAGTAACTATTATAGTTTTTATTAATATTTTTATATGGTTTTTGTTAATACTTTGTTCTCGTTTAGTTTAAGTTGTAGTAATTCACCAATTCTTATCGTTTTTATTAATTTAGTAAGTAACGTAGTTTTTTAATAATAGTAATTTAGTAACTTTTGGTTTTTATTTATATTCTGAATTAATTTTTATACAGTTTTTATTTTAATTAAAGTTGTAGTAATTTGTAAATTTTGTTATAACTATTAGCATTTTTATTAATTTAGCTAGTAAGAGTAATTTAATAGGCCTAACTGTTATCGTTTTTAATTAATATTTTGAATTAATTTGTATTTTTATACTTTGTTTTTATTTTTATTTTAGTTAAACACTTCGTAATTTTGCTTTTAGCTTTTTTAAATGCCTTTACAGCTTTAGCTTTAAATAGTTATTTTAGTACATAAAGTTAAACTAAAAAATTAGAAAAGTCATCTTAGCAAGTAAATTACATTTTTTTTAAATATTTATTTTAAGTTATGTTTTTTTTGCATTTCAAGCAAATAATTTTTTTTATGGTTTTAGTATTAGTTATAATAAGAACCCTGTTGCGTATGCAAATTACTGTATGCATAGATCTTTACTACATTTGGGAAACTGCAGCATACCGCTCGAATACAGTATCCCACAATGCACTGCACTCAGCTCCTTCCGTTTCCAGTGCGATGAATGAAACAGAAGTAATATCACATTCAAACTCATTCAGAATAATATTTTTTGATGCATCAATGAGCATGAGTGATCTGATTCTCACGCTGTTTGATATCACAGCAGTGTTTTCACTGACTCCGAGGCTGTATATTAATTTAGCGCTGCCAGATATTGATTCTCAGACGCATCGTGAGATATTTCTCCTCTGGATTTTCTTCAGATGTAGAGAACATCAAATGCATCCTTACACACGAACACACAGCTGATTATGTATCAGAGAGAGACACTTCAGTTATTTACACCATTTTATTTCACAGATTTCGGGGAGCCGAGCTTCTCAACATCACGCGTTGACTGCTATTTTACAGAGAAAGAGCCAATAAAAGAGCTTTCTGCTGTGAACGATCATGCAATATAAAAAATAAATCAATAAGTCATAACCTTTCATGTTTTGTTTGAGCAAAAATGACCTTTGAGGTCCCACACAGGCTTCAGTTAACAGAAACCGGAGTCAGTTCGGATTCAGAGACTGAGACGAGTGTGAACGCAAAGTATTTCAGTCGTCAGTCCTCATAATTAAGTTAATTACATTTCAGTAATTTGACTGGACAGGTGCTGTTTAAAGAGCTGGATAGCTCCAGGTCTGTGTTTGCTACATTGATTCTTTTGCAAATATAGTTATCGGCAGAGCAATATGGAGCTAAAATAGTCTCAAAATGAATGCATTCACCAAATATGATTCACAAATGCGTACGGTTTCACATTCCCATTTCGTTATTCATAATCTTATTTTGTGGATGTAAATTTTATTGTGCATGTGCAAATCATATTTTGCGAACATGTAAGAAAAGACAAACATACTTGTGTTTATAAACTAGTTTTGAATTTAAAAATCTTTGTGCATATGCAAATCATATTTTGTGAATATGAAAGGTTATGAGTTTGTCTTTTTCTGTTTGCCATTATATACTTAATAAATAATACATAATGTATATGCAAATGTATATTTATAATAAGCACACTTATATAAATGCTTCACATATAAATTATAAATATATACTTATAATAATAAACTTAAATGCAAGCAAATTCACAAATGCGTCAATCTGTTGATGCAGAAACTTTCAGGAAGGCACAAACATACTTTTGTATTTAAGAATTAGGTTTTGCATTTAGTGAATTTCAATTTTGCAATGCATATTTTCTGAATATAAATTAGCTGTGAGTTTGTCAGTTTATGTTTGCAAATATATACAGTATCTTTGCACATTTCTGCAAGCAAATTCACATTTTGTTTGTGGATGTAAATTTGTGTATTTGCAAATCATATTTTGTGAATATGAATTAGATTATGAGCTTATCAATTTATGTTTGCAAATATATACTTGTAATAAATACATTACTTATAAACTGTAATAAACTCAAACTAAAGCTAATTCACATTCACAAAAAGTTGATATATTTACAAAACGATTGATAAATTCATAACCTTATTCATAATCACAAAATTCGATTTGCAAACGCAAACAATTCATACAGTATCTTTGCACAATTTTCTATTCAAGTTTATTTGTATAGAGCTTTTCACGATACAAACTACTGCAAAGCAGCTTTACAGAAAATTACGTTTCTACAATATATTTAGTAATATTTTCTACAATTTAAATTTTTTTTTTTTTTATTGTGAATTAATTTTTTGACTTTTTTAGCTGCTCCAGAGAGCAAACATCATAAATGTGCATATGAGCATATCTGAAATGTCAGTAACCAGCCTTAATGTAGGGAATATGCATTATGTTTATCATTTTTAGTGCATAAGAGCATAAAAACATGATTTTTAGAGAGACAGAAGCTGAAACTCATGATTATAGTTGCGTTCACACAGATGAAGGTCTGTACAGTGAGTGTAAACCTGATCTCCAGAGGTTTAGAAACCAAGTTCTGTTGCATAAATCCCCTCAAATAAACCGTAATACCCTGTTAATGATGATGCATCAAACTCCAGGCTCTCGTGTTTGCCGTGTCGCAGAGTTTGAGTCTTTCTTGCATCTGAATCTTGCATCCGTTAAAGCGATGACAGAAATGAAAAACACTGAAATGCAAACTCAAGCGCTGGTGGAAGGCTTCAGGAAGCAGAAGTAAATCCGGTGGTTTTTCGGTGCACCGGACCGCAGACGCTGATGCTGTTTTACCAGATGTATCCGCCGTCGTCAGACTCCTCTTCCTCCTCCTCCTCCTCTTCCTCTGCGTTCTCATCCACGTCTTTCTCCTCCTCGTCCTCCCAGCCGACACCGCTGCTGAAGTCTCCGGAGCTCAGCAGCTCGTCTACGGCACACAGACACAGAGTTTCAATCACTGCACGATATATGTGGCCCTGCAGCACAAAAGCAGTTAAGTCGCTGGGGTATATTTGTAGCAATAGATTTTTCTTTTATGCCAAAAATCATTCCGTACCTAAAACTTAATGTTTGATTAGTAATATGCATTGCTAAAAACTTCATTTGGACAACTTTAAAGATGATTTTCTCAATATTTAGATTTTTTTGCACCCTCAGATTCCAGATTTTCAAATAGTTGCATCTCAGCCAAATATTGAGATGATGTATACATCTCAATTTCGAAAAATTGACCCTTACGACTGGTTTTGTGCTCCAGGGTCACATATCGCTTCAGCATCGATACCGCGCTGTACGCATTCGCAGGATGTGCGATGTTTAGTGTATGAGAGACATGCATATAATAATAATAATACATTTTATTTATGGGGCGCCTTACATGACACTCAAGGTCAACTTACATGCAATAAAAAATCTAAACAATTACAAGCATCAATAAAATTCAAACCTTTAAAGTCAATAGGAATTACATAAAACTATCACCGGTAAGCCTTCCTAAAAAGATGAAAATGGGAGTAAATTCCAGAGATAAGGAGCAGCATAGCTAAAGGCTGGAGACGTGTCCGAAGAAGAACTGAAGATGCACAGGATTGAACTCTGTTCACTTCCACGTCTATATTTGTGCCTGAAATGACACATACGGGTGAAATTATGTCAAAATGCATGTCTCTGCAAGTAAACACAGCTGCTTATGGCTTAGGCGATTTAGCTTAATTAAATTATTATATGTATTTTTTATTATATATAAATGTTTTTATTTAAACGATACTAAAAAAATAAGTCAGAAATATGAGAAACATTTTTCACCCAGAAGGCTGTAGCTGTGAATTCGCTGCTGTTTGACAAGCCCGCCAATATGTATATGCCTAATAATACAATGGAGCGGTTTCTGACACCCCCCGATTCAAAGCCTTCAACTTCAGGGCTTAAACCCAAAAGAAGACGATATGATGATCAGTATTTGAGTTTAGGGTTTACGTGGACAGGACCAGCTGATGAGCCACGACCTTTATGTGTGGTTTGTCAAGATATTTTGGCTAATGACAGCATGAGGCCTGCAAAACTTCGGCGACACCTTGAAACCAAGCATGCTGAGGTAGCAGGAAAACCTCCAGAATTTTTCCAGAGAAAACTTCAAACCTTTCAAGGTCAGAAAAAAATTGTGGAAGATTTTGTCAAATTAAATGGAAAGGCCACTGAAGCGTCATATCGCGTTGCATTGCGTATTGCCAAGGCAGGCAAAGCACATACCATTGGAGAGACGTTAATTATGCCGGCAGCAAAAGACCTATGTTCCGTGATGCTAGGAGAGGCAGCGGCTTCTAAGATCGATTCTGTTCCACTCTCTGACAACACAATAAGTCGGCGCATCTCAGACATGGCACAGGATGTGAAGGAGCAAGTTTTAGACAGCGTCAGACACAGCCCATTTTTTGCACTCCAGATCGACGAATCCACCGATGTGGCCAGCTGCGCTCAGCTGTTAACATATGTGCGGTACGTGAAAAACATGGACATTCAAGAAGAGTTTCTATTTAGTAG